TATTTAAGGTTCAAGAAGAGTTGGGGAAATGAGTTTGGAAAGGTAGTCTGGAGTATGATCAGAGGACTTTACAAAGCAAAATGCTAGTTCTGAAAAGCAAAGTAGAATTTTACAAAGGAGTCCAATTCAGCCCACAGCTCCTCCACCTCTTTCCAGGCCCTCTGCACCATTTCATCAAGCAGCTCTGCTACAGAGAGAGCAGGAGACCATGAGCTGACAGGAGGTTCATCCTTATTCAGAAAAGCAGCGAGCAAGAAATCACCTGACATCCTGCTGAAGCCAACTGTCATGCCAGGGACCACTGACAGAGATAAACTTGCAATTTCTTAACTAAAGCCCATCCCCACCCACTCCTACCTTGTCTCCACAGTTTGGAAAGCTTAAACCTGCTTATTGTAAGCCACAAGGTGGAGATGTCTGGCAGGGCAGAACTGAAAGGAAGTCGTTTAGCCAGCCTAAAGTTACCATTAACACTTTGAGCCACTGCCTTGAGCTAATTTTTATGTTTGTTTTTTAAGTTTGGTTGAAATGTCACAAATGGAAAAATTAAGTAAAGTGCTCCAGTTAGCCACAAGACTGGACACACCTGGCTGCAAACCCAGCAAAAGAAAACTTACTTCATTAGTAGGAGAGGTAGAAAGTGAAATTTACATCTGAAATCTGCCTGCACCAGGAGAAAGTGCTGAGGCCAAAGGCGCTGTCTGTTTTTACAGCTGTGTCAAGTCTTAGTTCTCTACTCTTACCAACACTCAGGAGTGAGGCAAGGGCCCAAGGAAAAATGGTCTCCAACCTCTTCAGCTGCAACTCAGCTCACAAAGGTTTTTAAGAACCAGTTAATGAAATAAAACAAGACCAGATGAGGTGATATAATGAACTTTATTTCCACAGCTAATTTATATGTTTAAATCCCAAATAATGTTTTTTTTTAAGTCAGAACACTCTAAATTATTGATGTGATTTTTGTAACCTCAAATTTAACACTTACTTTTTATACCAGCTTCACTGACGATATATGAGGCTGCCATATTTTTCACAATAGTTGGGCTCCTAAAAAGCTGGTAAAAAGCAAATTTTTGGAAAGTGAAAATTTTCTCACCAAATGAGACTGGAACTCTAATTTCAAAGGATTTCTTGATCCAAATTTCTAATGTGTCATTAATTCACATTCTCAATCTTCCCCACACAAATCTACTCAAGTAAAGTAATGGCCTCTAAGAATTCTTTGGCATAAGAAAAATCACCACTACATTGATCAGTCTTATAAATTCTACTTTTTATATGAGTTTTCTTAAAGATGCCAAGTAACACAGAAATAGATTTGCAAATTACCACCTTCACATCATAGGTTTTCAAAGCTGAAAAGAAACTTGAAAATCATGTAGTCACCCACCCCCCAAGTTTTTTCTTTTTTAACCAAGAAACTGAAGCAAGGAGAAAAGAAAAGACTTGCCAGCCAGGGTCAGAACCAGGCCAGACTGGCTCCCTCTGGCTGCTACTTTTCTCCAGCCACATGCCATTCTTCTCCAGCCTAACCTTCTCATTTCTTTAGGTTGTACAAACGCCAAAGACTGATGTCCCCTCTACACACACACAGTCACACTAACAACTGAGAAGTGGCTAATATATAATTTTCTTGCCTGTGAAAAGGGTGTCTGTTTATAGCATAAGGTTGGAAAGGGAGGAGCAAATCAGTTATAACAGAAACGTAATAATATTAATTCCCCAACTCTTTGAAATCTCTATTATTTTTTATAAATTTATTTATTTATTTATTGGCTGTGTTGGGTCTTCATTGCTGCGTGCGGGGTTTCTCTAGTTGCGGCGAGCGGAGGCTACTCTGTTGCAGTGTGCGGGCTTCTCACTGTGGTGGCTTCTCTTGTTGCTCGCGGAGCACGGGCTCTAGGCGTGCAGGCTCAGAAGTTGTGGTGCACCAGCTTAGTTGCTCCACGGCATGTGGGATCTTCCCAGATCAGGGATCAAACCCGTGTCCCCTGCATTGGCAGGCAGATTCTTAACCACTGCGCCACCAGGGAAGTCCCTCTATTATTTTTAAATCATCTTTTATTTATAGTCTTTGTAACTAAACTTGAGCTTGGCATTTCTGTTCATGAAGACAAATTTAAGAGTCTATACTTGGGGAGCATTATGGATCATCTGAAACCCTGCTATTCAACGTGTGGTTGCCCCTCCCCCCACCCAGCCCCACCAGTGGAACTGGCATCACCCAAAGCTTTTTAGAAATGTAGACTCTATGGCCTCACCGAAAACCTACTGAATCAGAATTTGTATTTTAACAAGATCCCCAGGTGAACTGTAGGCTCATTAAAGTTTGAGAAATGGTGGTCTAACACACTTCTCTATAGAACAGCATCATATGTAGAACAATTGAGATAGAAAAAAATGGTTGGATAAAATGGGAGAAAAAAAAAAGAAAGGCTAATTTCTGCAGGACTGCATTGACGTACACCTGGACCAGAGACTAATAAACCGAGTATGATCTATCTGACAAATAAGTTGGCTTTAAAACAGAATTTCAGAGGCTGAAGTTCAATTTATTCATTCATTCAACAAGTATTTATTTATCCAATGTTTACTGTGTAAACAAAAAACTGGATAAGACAGGTTTCGTGCCTTTATATAGCATACAGTCAAGCAGAAGGGACATTATAAAGTAACATGGGAGAAGGTTCGAATTGCTGAACCTTGTGATGGAGATATATATATGTAGGTCCCAAAGGAAATCCATCTGGGGGTGGAGGTGGGGTAGAGTAAAAGGTTCCTGTGGTCCAGGAATTGGCAACCTATGACTCATTAAGCTATTCAGTTGGGGACAGCTGTGGTCCACATGGCTCTAGTGGTCCCACTTCCAGCAGAGTTTAATCAACAGTGATAAGAAAACAGGCTAACTCATAGAAGAACTACTGTGTAACTGCATGGCAGTCAGCCGAGGCTTTGGCTGGCCAGGGGGTATCACTGGTCATCATTAAATGGGATGATTTGAGACTGCCAGCACTACTGTATATCCACCGTGAGCTGCCACAGAGTTGAGTAGTAAGTACTTGAGGGCATGCGGAACACTCAGCTGGCTGAAGAGCTTAAAGACTGCTGATCCCACTCTGGGCAGCTGAACAGCAGTAAGGTATGACAGTGAGAAAAATGAAGAAGGAAGCAAAGAGTGTAGTTACAAACACAGGTGAATACTGACTCCAAAACAGATGACTATAATGATTATGATGACGAAGATGATGAAGATAGCAGCTAAAACTCTGAAATACGCTATCATCTTCTTAGAATGAACAGAAATGCTAATGGTCTGCTGTCCCAGAGAAAGGCATGTAAATGTCAGTGAAGCTATCTAAAGATGAGCCCGAAACAAAATCGAGCTATTTGTAATGAGGTGGATAGACCTAGAGTCTGTCACACAGAGTGAAGTCAGAAAGAGAACGATAAATACCGTATGCTAACACATATATATGGAATTTAAGGAAAAAAAATGTCATGAAGAACCTAGGGGTAAGACAGGAATAAAGACACAGACCTACTAGAGAATGGACTTGAGGATATGGGGAGGGGGAAGGGTAAGCTGTGACAAAGCGAGAGAGAGGCATGGACATATATACACTACCAAACGTAAGGTAGATAGCTAGTGGGAAGCAGCCCCATAGCACAGGGAGATCAGCTCGGTGCTTTGTGACCGCCTGGAGGGGTGGGATAGGGAGGATGGGAGGGAGGGAGACGCAAGAGGGAAGAGATATGGGAACATATGTATAACTGATTCACTTTGTTATAAAGCAGAAACTAACACACCATTGTAAAGCAATTATACTCCAATAAAGATGTAAAAAAATATAATAATAATAAATTACTAAGCAATTTAAAAAAATAAATAAAAAGATGAACCCATGTCTACTGTGCTTTCTATACATGCATTTCCTCCAAAGTCATGAGAATCTGAAAATACCCTCAATCCAGATTCTCAGTAGGCAACCATCATTTCCATGATTTAGTCTCAAAGACTATAATTTCACACATAGAGTGAGCACATGATACCATCAGACAATAACATAGGAAGTGTGTGAAAATAATTATAGTAGATAAAAGTAAGACATGGGAGATCTCCCACTTAATTCCCATGCAGCATGGAAAGATCTCTAAGATATATTGTTGAGTAAAAAAAAAAGTTGCATTTAAGTGCATAGAGGATGATATCATATATGATAAAATATATACACGCAAAACCACAGAACTTTGTGCTGTAATGAAAGAAACCAAATTAACCCATTTTGTGACCCTGTCTGATGGTTTGGCTTTAGATGCTCCCAAGCTAGGAGGCAATGATATGGGAAAAAAACAAGGAACTACAATCTACTAAAACACGGTCTAGATACACAAAATACACAATATACACAAAGGAAGAGATTACTATTTATATAACCAATTGTATCCTAATGTTTTGGTTTTGGCTTTCTATTGTCATCATATTCTGTTATATACATACTACATATTCTCCTTTCTCAGGTTATTAAATATACTAATGTACCTTTTCAGTAGATACCTTGCCAAAGTATTCTAGGTTGTCAGTGATCAAGAAGCTTGTTTTTAAGTTCTTGAGCACGGTGCAGGCCCCATGCCAGGGTCTTTCCATCCAAACTAATTGTGAACTGACACACTGAACTGGTATCAAAGGCAAAGTGTCCTAAAACTGGATTATTATTATTTGATTTTATCTGTTCACCAAATCCATCCCTCCTATCACCATGATTTGGACTTAATAATCCCATCTCCGTACATAGGATGTACTCACACTGACAAACCATGGTAATGTGGGCAAATACATAAATAAAGTGTCTGTAGCATGCCAGTCTTCATAGAGGCAGAAGTGACTCTAGGTGAATTACCACTTGACATCAGGCCATTCTAGAACAGATAAAACTTCAACTCCAGTCAGGCAACCCCTCATTGGAGTTTTCCAGGACCAGAATCTGATAGCATTCACTTACCCCCATGATTCTGCCACGCTGCTCAACATCCTCCCACATAAAATGAACTATGATACGACACATGTATTTCCCACTCCGGCCTTCCTGCTTCATTCGGACTAGACACATCCTGGGTGGGAAGAAGACATAAAGAGTCACTGGCTGTTTGCATTTTTCACATCACTCATTTCCACGGAAGGTCAGCTCATCTGAGTCATTTTATCAAAGGGCACAGAATCAAAAAACTAGAAGTGATTAAAAAAAATCTTTTATTGAGCTATAACATAGACACTGAAAAGTACATAAATCTTAGGTGTACAGCTTGATGAATTTTTACATATAATATACACCCATGTAAGTACCACTCACATCAAGACATAGATTATTTAGAGCACCTCAGAAGGCTCCCTCATACATGAAAGGGACCACTTTTAGTTGTTTAAAGATAAGTCTGAATCCTTCATTTTACTGACGAAAACAGGAGTTCTAAAGAAGGAAAATGATGTGCCCAACACCACAGAGCAGTCTATAAAGGTGGGTATAGTACTGAGCTGTCCCATATGGACGCCACTAGCTACATGTGGCTACTGAACACCTTAAATATGGCTAGTTCAAACTGAGATGTGGTATAAGTTTAAGATGTCAAAGATCTAGTTCAGGAAAAAAGAATGTAAATATCTCAAATTTTTTACATTGCTTACATGTTGAAATATTATCAGGTATATTGAGTTAAAGAAAACCTATTATTAAAATTAGTTTCATTTTTTTTCTTTTCACTTTTTTAAATGGAGCTACTAGCAACTTTTAAATGTGTGACTTGCATTATATTTCTGTTGGATAGTACCCGTCCAGAATATAGATGACAGAAAGTATTATGATTTCATCTGTGTAATTATCAAATTGTTTCCCCCATTAGAATGTAAGTTCCATTGAAGGCAGACATCAAGTCTGGGTTTTTTTGGGTTTTTTAAAAATCACTGTATATCTAGGGCTTAAGTATAGTATGCACTCAATATATATTTTCTGAATAAATAAATGAATAAAACATCTCAGGGCCAAGTTTAGGGCTCTTTCCCCTATACCACATTGCCTCTAAACAGTCCAGAATGCTCTCTGCTTAAGACCTTACATAAGAATATAAGAATATAAACAGGGTCACCAACTTTCCAAGATAGCTCCTCATCTCATTCTTATGACCACACGTATTTCTATTATCTCTTGTTAAATAGTTATTAAGCAGCTACAATAGGACTACTCACCTAAAAGACAACTCCTACTATAATTATGGAGTATTCAGTCTAAACCGACAATTCTATCTCCATACACAATTAATCCTGCCCACTTAAATCTACTAGCAATAGTAAGGTCCAATGGAATGATTCCAGCCTGGCCTGCCTCAACATCTCTGTTAATGACTAAGATGGAGAAAAGAAAACATACTTATCAAATTTGTAGATTGCAAGAAGCTGGGCAGGAAGACAAATATGTTGGATGACCCAACCATGAACCAAAAATACTTCAACAGACTGTTTCAATGGGCTAAATCTAACAGGGATAAATCTAGACCCTGCACTTGGGTCTAAAAGAACAGCTGTAGAGGTACAGGATTGGTGAGTCATGCCCACCTATGTGTGAAAAAGCCTTACTGGCTTACGTTGACAGTATACACTGAAGGGGAGTCAAGAAGATGATATGGTTGCCCCCCAAATTAATGTGATTTTAGAAACAGTAATGCAAATATAATATCTTCATGTACAAAGTGAGATTTTTGTTCTATTCAGCACACGTCAGACTCTACTTGGAATACTGTCGACAGTTTTGAACATTATATTTTAAGAGACAAGAGGAAGAGTTGTAAGATCAGAAGATATTTAACCTGGAGAAAAACAGGACAGTTGCCTTAAATATTGCAGAAAAGTGATTAGACTGTTTATCCAAAAGGTAGAATCAGAACGAATGGGTGGGTCACAGAGGGAGAAAAACTACTCAACATTGAATGCTGAAAGTAAAAACTTTCTAATAGGGGAGTTTCTGAAGATTTGAATAATGTAATGGATGACCTCAAAAAGTAGAGAATTTGCAACTCGGCTATCTATCTGATGGAAGGCTGACTATACGATCTCTAAAGTCCCTTCCAACCTCGGGATTTGCTGATGCTGTGATTCTAAATTTGTAACCTCTGAACCCAGTTAGTGCCTAAGAAATAACACTTTGTGACAATAAAAACAGGTCATGGAAAAAGACTTGGCCACTTTATATGATATAGAGCATATTCCAAGGCAGAAACAAACTGGGGAAAGTTCAACAGTCCTTTTTCATAACATTTTTCTTAAAAGTTAACCAAAGTTAGCCTCTCCACCTGAAAAGACGCTGTGTGTTTTGATGCTTAAGTGTCGTCAGAGGCCAATTCATCAACAGCAATAGTGAGGTAATGGAATTCTTCATTTATATGAAAATTCTGTAGTTTGTTAATACACCTGCCCTCTGAGGTTTAAAAGGCACAGATTTTCTCAGACCATAAACTTACTAACTATATCAACATGGAGTGAAGTGTTTTTTGTTTCAGAGCAGTTTGTTTTATAGCCCTTACAGTCAAATGGTTATCTGGGTTGAAAAAGTAAAGCAAATTGAAGATACTTTCAAGATGCTGACTGACACTTAATTCACTCAATGGACATAAATTGAGTTCCTACTGTGTGGAGATTAGAGTGATGGTTAACAAGAGCCCAAGGAGCAGTTAGTCTCCTTAGGGGAGACAAGAGCCCTAAGAGAGAATGCAGTAAGTGTCCCGAGAGGAACACAAAGTGCAATGGAGTTTGAGAGGATTACTCTTGGCTGAGTGGGATCAGGGAAAGCTTCACGGAAAATGAAACATTGTACCTGGGGCTTGGAAAGGTGAGCTGCAGGTGGACAGATAAAAGATAAAGAGAATTTCCAGCAGATGGAACATTATGAACAAAGACAGGGCCATGGAAAGCTCAGCACATGGACAGGGACAATACCTAGATTTTGTGGAAGGGAAGTACAGGAAACAGAAAAATGTGCCAGAAAGGTCATGAAGGGCTTTTAAATGTCATGCTGAAAAGTCTGGACTTCACTCAGCAGACAAAGGAGAGCCACTGAATGTTTTTCAGGAAGAAGGGGTGTAATAAGATTAGGGGTGTAATAAGACCTTGGCTTTAAGAACAGATAAGTCTCTCAGAAGTTAACCCTTTCTTTCTTCCCAGCTGGAAACCCTTTCTTTCCAAGGCTGAAAAATGACAAATTTGGTGAATATTTACTTCAGTAGAACTATGGTATTTACAATTGTCTGATCCAGAAATTTAAATTAAGTGTACATCTACCTTTTGAGAGAAATGCAACAGCAAAGTTTGCTGCAACCTGCGCCTAATTTTGCTGATACTAAGAGTTTAAAAAATATAGATTCAAGCCTGATACATGAAAGAAGGGCAAATTCTAATTATTCCTAAAACACCGTACCTAATTAGTTCTGTAGACAATTGATGACAATTTGAAAACACTATCAAATATAAAGTTCTACAGTAAATTTCATCTCACATAGTTAAAGTTATAAAATCAAAACAATCAGTCTTCTCATCAACAGGAAGTGTAGTGAAGATGACCATGAGTTCTACTGGGAAAATAAGATTCTGATCCACACGGCTGCCCATTCATCCACCATCACCAAACTCAGCTAACTAAAGGCTCAACTTATTTTTGTCCTGAATTTGTGAATCAAATTCTCTAGGTAGTTAAGGACAGAAAAGTCATCTTGTTGTGAAGAACTTTTGTGTTTGTCCTCTTCAAGGAAAAAGCATAGCTGAAGGCTGGGGCCCACATCTTAGACAGTCAGCTGCCTGGAATGTCCAGATCAAGCTGAAGGTCAATTCTTAGGGTACCTAACCTTGAAGCCTACAAGTTCAGTCTACTCCTTTCTTTGTTTAGTAAATGTTTTGAATAGATAATACATGCACATGTTAAAAAAAAAGTTAAGTCCCCTTCCTACCCACATCTCCCAATCACCAGGTTCCTCTCCCTAAGGCAACCACAGTTAGCAGCTTCTTAGGAAACCTTCCACATGTAATCTATATATATACCAACTTAGTGTATATGTACTCTTTTTACATAAATAGTAGCTTCCCTTTTCTCCCCATTTTCCACAATGGTAGCATTCTACACACACTTTTCTTACGTTGAAAAAACAATCTGTTACAGAAGGATGGTGGTGAAGAAATCTCAACTCCAACTCTGTGCTCCATCCACAGATACTACAGTCACCCCAGTGAAACCCTTTTTAGGATAATAGAGTTGTAGTAATTTATTTAGCAGTTGTTAGGGTAACATCTGATCCAGGCTGAATTCAGCTTATCTGGCAATTTTTTCCTATTCTAATAAGACTAAGAAATAGGAAAAAAGCAAAAAAAAAAACCCTTTAATAGCAAAAATGGACAAGTGCTGTAATTAACAGCTAACACAACTATGTGCCAGGCACTGTGCTAAGTGATTCAGATACATTATTTCATTTAATCCTTACAACAACTATCGGAGGTTGGTATTCTTCCTGTCCCCACCTTACAGTTGAGGAAACTGAGTCTTACAGAAGTAACGTGCCCAGAGTTACAAAACTTGTTAAGTGTCAAAGCTGGGATCTGAACCCTGATAATCTGATCCCAGAGTCAGACTGTTTTTCTGCCTCTTTTAATGACTAGAACGAACCTTCCAGAATCCATTTACTTTTTCATTTAATCCTCACAAGGGCAATAATTTAAGTTTCAAAACTAACATCATATTAGAAATAAAATACCAGAAGGGAAAAGACTGGCTAACCTGAGGCAAACACACCTACAACAGCAAAAAGTAACTGCTGGCAGACTAAAAGGAAAGAACCTAAAAATGTATTTAAAATAAACACAACAGCAGTTCAACATGGAGGCTATAGCTACGAGTACACTCAAAGAAGGCAGCCTGGCAAAATACAGTTGAGAGTTATCAGAACTGGGACTTCCCTGGTGGTCCAGTGGTTAAGACTCTGTGCTCCAAATGCATGGGGCCCGGGTTCGATCCCTGGTCAGGGAACTAGATCCGGCATGCAGCAACTAAGATCCAGCACAGCCAAAAAAATAAATAAAA